CAATAAAATTAAGTGCACACGGGAAAGAGGATGAATTGAAAGAACTACGGGAATTTACCCGGCTACAAAAATGTTACTAGGTAATAAAACTACAAAAAGTTAAGATACAAATTTGGACAACAGGACTTTAGCCTGGCTACAATAGAATTAAGCGCAGCGAATAGCAATACATAAGGGAGAATAAATCAATATTTAAATACGTTAGCGGGGTTTTACCCGACTACAATAAATACTATTAAGGAGAAAAAGAATTTGGACAACAGGAGTATTGCCTGGCTATNTAATAAAACTACAAAAAGTTAAGATACAAATTTGGACAACAGGACTTTAGCCTGGCTACAATAGAATTAAGCGCAGCGAATAGCAATACATAAGGGAGAATAAATCAATATTTAAATACGTTAGCGGGGTTTTACCCGACTACAATAAATACTATTAAGGAGAAAAAGAATTTGGACAACAGGAGTATTGCCTGGCTATAATAAAATTACGTGCACACAGCGAAGAAGATGAATATGAATGAGCCACGGGAATTTCCCGGCTACAAAAATATGACTATATAATTAGACTACAAAAAGTTAAGAAGCAAATTTGGACAACAGGACTTTAGCCTGGCTACAATAGAATTAAGCGCAGCGGATAGCAATAAATAAGGGAGAATTAATTATTATTTCAATACGTTAGCGGGGTTTTACCCGACTACAATAAATACTATTAAGAAGAAAAAGAATTTGGACAACAGGACTATTGCCTGGCTACAATAAAATTACGTGCACACAGCAAAGAAGATGAGAATGAATGAACCGCGGGAATTTACCCGGCTACAAAAATATTACTAGGTAATAAGGCTACAAGGATGAAGATACAAATTTGGACGACAGGACTTTAGCCTGGCTACAAAAGAATTAAGCGCTGCAAGCAGCAATGAATAAGGGAGAATTTNTTGGACAACAGGACTTTAGCCTGGCTACAATAGAATTAAGCGCAGCGAATAGCAATAAATAAGGGAGAATAAATCAATATTTAAATACGTTAGCGGGATTTTACCCGACTACAGTAAGTACTATTAAAGAACTACGGGAATTTACCCGGCTACAAAAATATTACTAGATAATAAAACTACAAAAAGTTAAGATACAAATTTGGACAACAGGACTTTTAGCCTGGCTACAATAGAATTAGGCGCAGCGAACAGCAATGAATAAGGGAGAATTAATTAATATTTAAATACGTTAGCGGGATTTTACCCGACTACAATAGATACTATTAAGGAGAAAAAGAATTTGGACAACAGGAGTATTGCCTGGCTGAATAAAATTACGTGCACACAGCGAAGAAGATGAATATGAATGAGCCACGGGAATTTCCCGGCTGCAAAAATATGACTAGATAATTAGACTACAAAAAGTTAAGAAGCAGATTTGGACAACAGGACTTTAGCCTGGCTACAAGAGAATTAAGCTTAGCGGATGGCAATAAATAAGGGAGAATTAATTATTATTTCAATACGTTAGCGGGGTTTTACCCGACTACAAT